CCAGCTTTCACTTCCATACATCACTACTGGGAAAACCATAGCTTTTACTATATGGACCTTTGTTGCCAAGGTGATGTCTCTACTTTTTAAGATGCTAAATCACAGATTTCGTTGTCCTTTAACTGCTTAAGAGATCCCAAAGAAGCACATTTAAAAACACAGCCAGCGTATCACGCAGGTTAAGAGTTGACCACTGGCAACCTTTTTTTTTAAAAAAAAGAGCCAGCCGCTGTTCTAAATGACAGGCAGGCAGACGGTGTATGTCAGTTGCATGTTTCAGAGGACAGAAATAGGCACAGACTCTCAGGAAGCACACAGAGCTCTGGCTCTGAGGTTGGACAAATTACCCAGCCTTGCGGGCAACTGCTCCTTCCCTTGCAGGCTACGCTCAAGGGTTCCTTCCCTGTCCTTTCACAGATCTTCCCTCCTCCATCTGTTATGTTGCGGCAAACCAACTTTGCAAAGAGGAGCCGCAGCTGCAGAAAAATGCCCGTTACCGTTAGGACGTTGCCAGGTGCATCGAGAGTAGCCTCCTGCCTGGAAGGGGACTGTCTTGCGCTGCACCCATCTCCCGGTGGCCCAGAAGCAGCAATTCCACTTGGAAAGCTTTCTCAATCCAGCTTTCTCTGGCTTGGCTGACTGGCAAAGGATCAAACTGGGTTTCCTCCTAATTTATTTATTTATTGCCCGCCTTACAGTCCCAGGGCAGGTCACGTAATTAAAACACAACATTAAAAGCAATTTAAATTTAAAGCAATGTAAAGGTCATCTCGGTGCTGTTTTGCAGTCCCAGATTCTTCCAGAAGAAGAAATGTTCACCGTTCCGCAAATAAGTACACAGATGTGATGATTTGGACAGGATTCTTTCTCGTCTTGGAGCCCGAAAGGGGTGAATTATAAGATTAACACTGATAGGAACTGCATGTTTGAAGGGGCTCAAACGCACACATGATATCTTCCAGGCCTGTTTGCCAGGAGAGAGAAGCCAACAGAATACAGACACAAGACTTTTTGCCCTCTCCCCAACTTATGCCTCTGTCTTGAGAGCCAGAACATTAGCAGTCGCCAGATCAGCCTTTGCCAACCCGGTTCCCTCCAGGGGTTGTTGGACCACATCAGCCCCAGGTAGCATGACAAGCACTCAGGGATGAGGCAAGCTGTAGTCCAAAGGGAACTAGGCTGAGGAATCCTGCATTGGACCAGTCCCCACCCTCCTCTCAGATGAATCTGCATGATTGGCAATCAAGGGCACAAATTGCCATGCTTGCTAATGGAGCAAAGGGACAAGGGTGAACAAGTATATCCAAAGGCAGCGGTGGAACCTAGCCCAGGAGGGGAAATGGAGCACTGCTCCATCAACCTTGGTTAAAGGTAAAGGGACCCCTGACCATTAGGTCCAGTCGTGACCGACTCTGGGGTTGCGGCGCTCATCTCGCTCTATGGGCCGAGGGAGCCGGCGTTTGTCCGCAGACAGCTTTCGGGTCATGTGGCCAGCATGACTAAGCCGCTTCTGGCAAACCAGAGCAGCACATGGAAACGCCATTTACCTTCCCGCCGGAGCGGTACCTATTTATCTACTTGCACTTTGACGTGCTTTCGAACTGCTAGGTTGGCAGGAGCTGGGACCGAGCAACGGGAGCTCACCCCGTCACAGGGATTTGAACCGCCGACCTTCTGATCAGCAAGTCCTAGGCTCTGTGGTTTAACCTACAGTGCCACCTGCGTTCCTTGGTTAGGGTTGCCATATTTCAAACAGTGGAAATCCAGACAGAAAAGTGGTTGAGCTTTTCCCCCGCAAAATTGCATTAAAATGCCATTTTTGAGCTATTTTTATGGGGAAACGTCAAAAACGGAACTGCTGACATGGGCTGCCATACGCCAAGATTTTCCAGGACATTTTCCTGATTTCTGCCCAGACACTGCTGCTGACTGCAGTATTCTGGATTTGTCCAGGAAAATCCATACATATGGCAACCCTAACCTTGGTCTTCCTCCAAGCGCCTCTATCCTGGTCTTCCTACTGACAGCCAGTCCAGCAGGTGGCCCTGCCTATCAACTTCCTCCACTTCAGTATTGCCCTTGTAGAACTCAGCAGAGAGAAGGATTTGAGCCAAAGCAGACTTAGTTGGCCCTGCCTGTCATTGGATCTGGTGCCCCCTACTGTTGGGCTCCCTGCCTTCCACCCTACCAGTACCCTATGGGCACCAGCCACCACTGTAACAAAGGCAAACAACCACCAACGCTCACCCACAGTTCATATTTATGTCCACATTTCCAAATCCATTCCCTCCACCTTCTGGCGAGCATTCTGCTAATGCAGCTTGCGTTTCTTCTCTTTTCAGATGCACTTGAATTTGGAAAAGGGAGAAGAATATAGCAGGGATGGGGAATGTGGGGCCCTCCAGACAACGTTGGATTGCAACTTCCATGTTCCCCTAACCGTTGTCCAGGCTGGCTGGTACAGATGAGCACTGATGCCCAACATCACGCAGGAGCAAAACTTGGGTGTTGGTTGCCTCCTAATTCTGCAGTTCTGCAGGCCTGGAGAGATTAATATTTTGCCATTTTACCCAGGGCTCCTGTATACATTGCATGTCAGCTGCTGGGACCAGCGCCCCCCACGCCCCCCAGCCTGCCTTGCTGGGGGCAACACTGAACTGTTTAAATACAAACTGCATTTCACTGCAAGGGCAGATAATGCCAACCAGAATGCACCACTTCCATTTACATGGATGCACATGGTTACACCTGGTGCTTTTCTTCAAGAAAGAAAGGCGCCAGTTCTCACCACAAAGATGTTACAGTAAGCGCCACACTTTTAACCAGTGTTTTTCTTCTGGGGGGGGGAGCTGCCGGTACTACGTACCTTGAGTACCCCCTGAAAAAAAGTTACATACATACTAGTTACATTTCATTCTCACCACCTGCTCCTCTTGTGGGTGGCTAACACAGGAAAAGCCTTTTCCCACAGCAGCCAGGGCAGTAATGACAGAGGTGGGCTTTGGCCTTTCAAATTTCAGATGCACCCAGTGCCGGATTTACATATAAGCTAAACAAGCTATAGCTTAGGGCCCCACTCTCTTGTGGGGGCCCAAAAAAAATTAAAGGAAAAAAAACCTGGATGTACATTTCCAAAATATAAGGTAACAAACAAATAAAATAAAACCTACATATGGCAACAGTGTTTTGTTTTGTGCTGTGTAGGCTCCTATGATGTATGTAAAGGGCCCCACCTGCCATATAAAGGGCCCCATTACCTTCAGTAGCTTAGGGCCTCATCAAACCTAAATCCAGCCCTGGCTGCGCCCTCCTGTCCAAAGCCAAAATTCAGTGCCCATCCCCATCATCTCTTACCTTCCGTTCTGCACAATGCACTATGGTGCGGCGCCAGTGCGGGGGAACCTGTCGCACTGCCCTGAATCCAAAACGTAAACCGTCCTTTACATCATGGATGGGGCAACCTGTGGCCCTCCAGATGTTTGCCAAATGACACTTCCTATCAGCCTTGACTCTTGGCCAGGCTGGCTGGGGTTGATGGGAGAGGTAGTTTAGCAACAGCTGGAGGGCCGAAGATCTCTGCTGCCCCCCCTGCTCCCCCAAAAAACCTTTCCAACCATCAGAGACACCAGCAACTGGAATCCAGCAGCATCTAGGAAGCTTTATTTATTTACTGCATTTCTATCCCACACTTTTTCTTCAGTGAGCTCAAGGTGGTGGACATGGTTCTACCCCTCCTCAATTAATCCGCACAACAAGCCTGCAAGTTAGGTCAGGCAGAGAGATGGTGATTAGCCCTACGGTCACCCAGTGAGCTTCATGGCCAAGCAGGGATTTGAACTCTAGTCTCCCAGGTCATACCCCGTCTGTCCAACCATTACACCTCACTGGCTGATTTACACATTAGGTCCCATATAAAGCTACACACGGAGTTCAAGCCCATGGAAACAATGCTGAGGCCTATTATACAAGCATCCACTTTTGGCCCAGACAACACAAAACATAGCTCTTAAGAGTGGTGCTGGGAAAAGTCATAAGGTGCTCCCCCATATTTCATGTTGCACAGAAGTTATTACAGAGATTTTTAGCAGCAACCACAGCAAATACTTGTAAATGCATGCTGCTGTTTGGCAGTTCAGCTGGGACGGGATACTAAAGCAAGCCTTTGAACCATTCGCAGAACTTTTCCTTGTTTCTTTCCATCTTACAGATTCCCATTATTATTATTATTATTATTATTATTATTATTATTATTAGTGAACTATAAAAAGACTCCCCAAGCAGCTACAATAATGGCACCTTTGCTGTATCTGTGCGACACAGAACAACTAGCAAAGCAGATTGATGTATGAATGATCCAGTATAAATCCACCACGAAGGCCCTGGCATTACATCAACGATGTGTTGCTGAATACAGGGAGGGGTTTCCTTTCCATTCAAAAAATTGCCAACCTCTACCGGCAGCCTCGGGGCTCTACCACTTCGCTATAGGGCAAGGGCAGGGAACCTCTGGCCCTCCAGAAGTTGCTGAACTGCATCTCCCACCCAGGACCAGGGCTCAAATTCACCTCTAGGTAGGGAAAATCTTGGAAGCCCAAATAAATAATTCCCAGAGCCCTGTTGCCTTCTCCTGGTTTTACTCTCCTGGTTTCTGTCGAGAGAGAGAGAGAGAGAGAGAGAGAGAGAGAGAGAGAGAGAGAAGAGGATTTGGAGTAGTTGGCTTCAGTCAGTGCCTGGGAGGCTGAAGGAGAAACTGATGTTTTTTCTCTCCAGGAGTTGGTGGTTAGGACGCGAAATAGCTGAAGGCTTCGTGGTAGCAGCAGCAGCAGCAGCAGCAGCCTCCTTGCCAGGTCATCAAGACGTCGCCCGCTCCTTCCCCACCGCTCCCTTCCACCCTCCCTGCAGGGTGGGATGCTGCACTTGTTACTCACTACGAGGAATCTGGCAGATTCCGCAAGAGATCACTTGCGGGCGAGGCGGGTGCGGGAGAGGGAGGGAGGAGAGGAAGGGAAGCTGCTGCCGCCGCCCCGCCCAGGCAAGGACGCTGCTAGGGCTGTTTCTCCGCCCGCCCGCCCGCCGCGTCCCTGCGCACATTCGCCTCCTCTGATCCGTTTCAGGGGCTGCTGGTGAAGCCGTCAAAACAACAACACAAAACAACTTTCCTGCATTGCAAGGGGTTGGACTAGATGACCCTGCGGGTCCCTTCCAAATCTACATTTCTAGGATTCCGACAACAACAACGACGAATCTCCAAAAACAGGCAGATACGTTTGGTGGGGGAGAGCACCCTCCGCGCCAGCTCCCTTTCCCCCCGGGGCCCAGATCCAACTCCTGCGCCTCGCAACGAAGTCCCGCCTGACACACGGAAGCTTTAAAAGATCCCTTCCCCGCCTCTTTCTTCCTCTGAAAGGCGACCAAGAAATTAAGCAGGTCCGTAATGGAGCTGGGGGTGGAGGAAGGGAGCCCCCTTGCCCCGCGTGTGGCGTTGTTGTTTTTCTGTAGAGCGGCGCGTGTTCAGACGAGCCCGAGGATCAACCGTGTCCATGCCTTGAAAGGGGACTGCGCCAGTCCCAGCAACCGAGTGGCCGGGCTCGGGACACTCAGACACCCCACCCCGGTCGCAGCAATCCAAAGAAACCCCGAGCAGTGGCGCCCCCGCCGTGGGAAGGGCGCGCGTGGAGCCAGGCAGGCGAATAGCAGCGCCCAATCGACGGAAGGCGCTTCGCGGGTAGAAGTTGCCCTGAAAATTGTGGGGGGGGGGGATTGCAAAATACAGAGGGAGGGGAACCGGAGATCCTGACGCCGCACCGATCCCGATTACCCTGGACCTGGATTTCGTTGCGCACGCTGTAGTCCTTCTGCAAAAGCATCCCCGACCTGAGCAGCTCCTCTAGCCCGGAGCTGCCGGGTCCAGCGCTTCTGGTCCTCCCGCCAGCTCTGCCTGCTCCAATGTGTGCGTGGTAATGCTGGTGGGGAGAAGGGGGGAACGCGCAAGACTAGCCCCCAAGATCCCACCAGATGCTGCCAACCCCGATTCCCTAGCCGAGGGGGAGGCTAAGCTGAAGGGAAGGCAAGCAGCTCAGGCTTGCGCTCTCCCGCGCGCCGCTTGCGCCCTTCGCGTAGGATCGCAGCCGACGCCGCGCAAGCCAAGTAGCGAGGAGAGGAGAATGGACAGGAGGGGGTGCTCCTCGCTCGCCGGCCGGGTTTTTACCCTTCCCGGACCTCCCCCTTCGAAAAGAACCACAGCAGCCCTCTTCCCAGTTCTGCCCTCCAACCCTTGGTCCCTGCGCTCCTCTCGCCCCACATCCATCCATCCATCCACCTCTTCATCCGTCCTGGTTCCCCCAGTTCCCCCCCCTTACCTTAATGGTCCCGTCCATCGAGCGCGCTTCCCAGTCCGGCGTCCCGGGAGTCCGCACATTGACCCGGTTGAGCTCCGCGCCCGCGCTACGCCGCCCGCTTCAGCCCCGACTCTGTTCCGCGCCCGGCCTGCCTCCTCAGCCTCTCCTCTCGCCGCAAAGCGAAAGAGCGACAGTTAACCGGATGAAACTTTTTTCCCCAGCTCACTTTGGGAAGTGAAGTCACTCGAGGAGGAAACTTCGCTCCCCGCCGCGCCTGGGCCGGCCCTGCTGGATCCGAAGAGGAGGAGAACTTCTTTTTTTTTTTAAAGCTAGCAGGATATTTGCTGGGGTTAGATAAGGAGCGAGACCCCGGAGCGCGCTTCAGGACTCGGGGCGCTCCCTCCGGCTCCTGCAGGATTTTGGCTGGCTGGTCAGGAGAGGCAAGGAGCCCCCACTCGGCTCTCCTCTCCCGGACATCTGGGGGGATATTTTTTTTCCCCAGCTGTCCAGACAGATCTATTTAAAGGTGCCCGACGCTGCGATCCTGGCTCTATTTATCCGGAAATTCAACAGGATACAGATCCGTTGCAGGATCCCAGTTTGAGCCATCAATTCCCGTTTTCCTTCACATGCAATTTGTAAAATAAATAAATCATTCATAAGGCGTTTTCCCGTCCGGAGGTTAATTACATCGGGGATGGGGGAAGGCTCTCGTTCGCCCCAGCCTACCAAATTTGATTTGATTTCTTACGGTTAAATGTGTCAATGTGCTCTTTTGGATAGATGACAAAACCACATGGTTGTCAATATTCAACAGGCGTTTCATGGAACGGTTTCTGGAGGATTTTTCCTTTGTTTGGCTTTTCCCCTCCCCCGTTCCTAACAGGGAACTCAAAACTCCCGTTTATTGCCAGGAAAAGGGCAACTAAGGTAAGGCGCGAGGCAACCGTGGGTGGAAACGTGTATACATGTATGTGTGTATAGTGAGAGCTTGAACCTTTTCGCTGGCTTCGCGTAACCGAAAGCCACAATATTTCTTTATTTTCAAAATAAAATAAAGCATTGTTTGCCACCAAGTTTAATAAGCCAAGAGTGGCATCCTATGCGTGTCTACTCAAAGACCACGGGATTCAATGGACCTTACTCCTAGTTAACAGGGTGATCCTAAGCGTGCTTCCCTGTAAGCAAGTCCCACGGGCTTCAGTGCGATTTACTCCTTTGTAAATTTGTTTCGGATTTCAGCCCGACCGGAGGATTGCAGCTTTGCAACGCGACCCTAACCATGTCTACTCAATGGTAAATCCTATTAAATGAAATGGGGTTTACTCCCAAGTAAGAGGAGCTAGGACTGCAGCCCTTCTGGGGACCCCTGTTCTTTATTTTCTGCACCTTCTTCTCAGTAATACAGCATTTGTACTACGGAATGGTTCCTGGAGCCACAAACTGACCTTCTTGAGCAACCTGTTCGGGTGATGTCCTGGTCAGCACTGCAGCCAATCGGCATTTTAACGTTTTTGCGTTGCAGGACAGCTGAGATGCAGCAGCATCCCAATGATGCCTACTCGGAAGTAAAGGGTTCCTGAGTTCTCCAGAGTGTGGAGAGACGTTTGCTCATTTCAAGTGAGAGGGACTGTGCCAAATTTACTGCGTTTGGGGGTCTGGGACAGTTTTAGGACAGATTCACATGCGGGCCAAGCAATTGATGGAGTATATCTATATATGGAGACGCTTAATTTCGAATATGTTTTTCTATTACGAAACAAACTCCCCCCGCTTAGGACTAGGTGCAAGGGACTTAGAAGACCTCCCTTGCCGGTTTTGATGATGGAAATAGGTCTGAGACTCAGGGCGGACGGTGAGGGGACCCAATGTCAAAAAAAGGATTGAAAAGAAGTCCGATCCTCTCTGCCTTTTTTCTCCAAGCCCAAACCTGTGACTAGGCAGGTTTACTCGGAAGTAAAGCCCCAACGGAGCTCAGCCCCACGCAAGTCCCGCCTTACCGGACTAGATGATCCTTGGGGTCCCTTCCAACTCTACAATTCTATGATTCTACTCAATGGGACCTACTTTCAAGTAAAAGTACACAGGATCGCGCGGCCGGCCAGCAGAACCCAGACAAACCCGGACGAAAGCCCGATTTGTTTCTAATTTCTTTCTGGGATATTCCCTGCAGGATCTGGGATTTGAGGGTCTGGCGGAGCGTTTCCATCTAACGAGCGGCGGCGGTTGGAGATTCATAAATATATATGTATATGAGAATGATCTGGACAAACTCCCCAAACACTCAAAGCCATGCACTGTTCAAACAAATCTCTCACCCTCCCAAAGTAGCCCCAACATCCAACACTTCCACCGTTCTTGTGCAACAGAGAAGAATGGAAAGACGCGCGCGGGGTGGGGTGGGGTGGGGGTTGTCTTACAAGGAAATGGAGCAGAAATTGGAAAAGGAGTTTTCCCCACACGCAGCCTCAGCCCCCCACCCAGCAGTTCACTGTCAACATCTCTCTCTACAGCCCCCCACCCCAAAGATGGTTACCTCATACAAGGTCCAGCCTTTCCTCCTCCCCCCTCTTCCGGTTTTGTTAGTCCAGCCAGTGTCTGTCTGTCTGTCTCAAGCAGAAGCCCAAGTCCCTTTGCCCCTCCCGTCCAGAAGGGGAGGTTTGTTTAGGATGCCGCGCACGCGGAGGCGCGGCGCCCGGATAGTTGGATGTTTGACTTCCTCGGCGGCGGAGAAGCCTCCCTGGCCCCTCCCTCTGTCTCCCCTTCTCCAGAAATCAGCCCCCGCCATCCATTCCACTCCACTCACCCCACCCAGTCGGGGGCTCCCGCCTTGCCAGCCAGCCAGTCTCTGGTGGGGTGGGGGGCTAAGGCTGGGGACAAGACCACCGCCTCCCCCGGCCCCGCCGCCTTGTCTCCTTTTTACAATCCGAGCGCTGCTCTGCCGCGGTGTCCCCGGAGAGCAGCCCACATCTGGATGCTGCTAGCGGGGTCAGGTCCCCTCCGCCCGGGGCCACGGGGGCTGGCTGGCAGGCCGCGCAAAGGCACCAGGCTTAACCCTTGGCTGGCCGGCTGCTTGTCTCTACTAACCAACAACTTCCCTCCCTCCGCTTCACCACGACATAGCAAACTCCAGTGGGGGGAGAAGGGAGGAAAAGGGAGAAAACCTTCCCCCATCCTCCTCTGACCCAGATGTCGCTTTCTTAATGTTTGCAACCCGAATCAATGCGTGCTTGCTCAGAAGAACCATTGGATCCGGGGGAGTTTACTTTCGAGTAGATGTGCACAGCAGCGCAGTCCAATTCTAAATGGCATCGGGAAGAACAACGAGAAGTTTTATGTATGTTGGAAGACGCACAGAGTGGCTGGGGGAACCCAGTCAGATGGGCGTGGTACAATTATTATTATTATTATTATTATTATTATTATTATTATTAAGCAGTGCCCATGTCGACTGAGAAGAGCAAGCCATCCCGGTCGCTGCCTGGTGTGTTTGTGCGCCTTGAGAAACGAATATACTGACCTTCAGGTGACCTGAGGTCGCTTGCCATTAAAACCTGGCCGTGAATGTAAAGATCTGAAATCGAGAAAGTTTCTGGAAATGATGCGAGGCGAAGAGAGGGCTAGAAAGCGCTCGTCTTCCAGCGATCTGGGCTCCTCCGCCTTTTATACTGGAAGCCGAGATCTGAACCAATTTCCTTTCGGAGTTAAGTTCTAATAAAACGCGGGTGTGGACAAGGGGAGCGCCAGAAGGGATCAGGCCGCCTGTTATCGCCCCCCACCAGCCAACAAGAAAAGAATTGGGGTGCCTTTGACAAGTAAAAGGAAGGCGAAAGTTGGAACGCACGAGATTCTCACCTCCTATCTATATATCTATATCTATATCTATATCTATATCTATATCTATATCTATATCTATATCTATATCTATATCTATATCTATATCTATATCTATATCTATATCTATATCTATATCTATATCCACACACATATGTATATACATCGCTGTATATAGTGATCAACCCAACGAAGAGACAGGATTGGCCGATAGCTCCCCCCAATCCCGGCTTTCCCTTGGGCTGATCACTTCCAGCAATTCCTTCTTTCTGCCCGCTTCCTTCGGCAAGTCTCCCTCACCTGCAGGAAGATCAGGAGCTAAGCGCAGCCTCAGAGTTGTTAGGCTGCTGAAACCCCATTGACATCAATGGGATCTAAGCCGCCGAGCCGGCGCTGGATCGCCTCAGAGATGACTCATCAAGATCCTGAGCTAGCTGACAGGCCACTGCGCACAGTCAGTCACAGCCAGGCTAGGCACGTCTACTCCGAAGTAAGTCCCGTGGACTTCAACGAAACTTACTTTCAGGCCACATCCTTCTCGCAGGCCCAAGAGGTCTGGCTGAAGACTGGCGAAAGATCCGAATTACCCTATCATTTCCCGCTTGTCAGCCGCGGGAACATTCAGCGACGCTTTGACAAGTAAACCGGGATAGTAGCGAGGGAGGTAAATGGACAAGGAACTCTTTCCACGCCTTTCTTGATGCGTCCGATGAACCCGGGCGGGCGGCTGCGTTCTTCATGCAACTGGAAAACAATTTTTGCAAACTCTCAAATCGACTTTTTGTTTCTGTTTTGTCTCTATTCAAGAGTCCGCCTTGAAAATTTACGACTTAATAGGGATGCCAAGGGAGATTTGGAAACAATTTTTTAAAATGTCAGGATAGTTTTCCTCTCTCTTTTTTAAGATATTACTTTTTTGTGGGGGGATAGAGCAGCAGATCACAATGAAATTTTAAAACAAGATGTTCAATAAACTACGCAAATCGGTTAAAATGAGCGTAAAACCATCCTACTCATTTTGCTGACTTAGAAGTAAATGCCATCGATTAGTAAATGCCATCGATTTCGATGGGACTTACTTTCGAGTAAGCATGCCTAGGAATGCTGGGAGCATCTTTCCTCAAGGGCTCTCCTTTTCAATCCGGCGCTGAGTCCCTCCGCGCCTCTCCGGATGGCTCTCAAACGCCAGACTGGGCGTGGCTCACTTTGCATAGGATCCGACTGTAGAGGAGCTCAAGAAAAGATGGGATCACTGCCGGGCAGTATTTAATACCGTCGTTCAATCAATCAATCAATCAATCAATCAAATCAGGATAGTGGAATGCACCACCCCTTACGCAACCGTGGACTGCACAAGAACGCAATTATGCTACGGATTCGGTGAGAAATGCTTAGACCGCATCACTGAATCATATAATTGTAGAGTTGGAAGGCATCCCAAAGGGCATCTAGTCCAGCCCCCTTGCGATGCAGGAATTGTCTCTTCCATCCACAATGAACTCTGTGCTTAGGATCGAACCCTATGCCAGACACCTATGCAAGAAAGATACCCTCTTGGTACCTCGCTGGTGTCTATGTCCATATCACACACACACGCTGGGAACATGGACACACACACCCTGCTGGAATCCTATGCCTTCTTACTTGGAACTCCGTAGAACATCGTGGCAAAAATGCGCAGGATCAGAATTCTTTCGAACTAAGTTCCATTGACTGCAGCAGAAATCTGCTCCCAAGTAACTATGCAAAATGCTGCCCATACTACAGAATTATCGTTTTTGCAGTGACATTTTGTGCATCTATACCGCTGCTCCACGTATAAGCTACTGATTAC